TGCTATCTCTTTAGAAACCATTATGGGGAGAGGAAGGAAGAGGAGGCGGCCAAAATCAAGGGTATGATTTAAAGTTTGTCATAAAAGAATGGGATGAATAAGCAAAAAAATAACAACTTTGTAGAGAGGAATATCATGCGTAATGGATTGCGTAATACCCAAAACAGTTCAGGGTCAGGTACAGATTTTTCTTTACCTTATATATATATATATATATATATATACATGTGTGTGTGTGTATGTGTGTGTTGATGTATGTGTATTCGATCTGTGTCTTAGCATGCTTGATTTGAGATAATCTTGTTCCTTGAAACTACTTCTTTAAAAGCATAAGAAAACTCATATTTTGATATTAAAGTAGGATATGTTTTACGTATTGTATGTGCAAATAGATATGGAGATTTGTTGCTCCATCTTGAAGAAACAACATCCCCAAAATCAAAGTAAACTACAAAGATATTACTTCTCTGGTTATAAGAACAAGCAACAGGAAGACGTCGAATTAATTGTCGGGGATTTGCTCCAAGAAGGAACAAACTCAAATCTAACGTGTCTTCAACAACTTGTTTGACCAAGACCTGGGTACTGGCTTAGCATGTTTCATTCCCCACACATTCATAGTATCGTCATCCGTAGATCGATGCCCTTACAAACAGTTCCAAACTAACATGCAAATGTGTATGATCATTATTATTATTGTTACTACTTTTTAATTAGGTCCGGCGATTCTGAATGGTAGAGGGAGAGAGAATGGGATAGGGGACTGATTAGGCCCGTCCACTTCCTTCTAAGCGAGGAGGTAGCATACGGCGAGTAGTGATGTTCGAGCCGATTCTGACAACAGCTACGCAAAGCGTTCAATCGCGGCCGAGGAGGAGGAGGAGGCTTGTTGTTGTGAATCGGAGCAATAGCCTCTTCTCGGAGCCAGTTCTCCTCAGCGCAACAGACATGGCTGCTGGAGTGGCTCGCAGATCGTCGCCATAGCCACTGGATGCGCTTCACTGACTGCATGAGAAAAAGGGGGATGGAACGGGCCGGGCCGGGTTGGGTCGGGACGGGACGGGTGGGGAACCGACAGTTGCGTGACGTGGCCGAGCCACATGTGCTCTGCATGGCGCGGTCATGGGTCCGGTGCGAATCTTCGCCGAAAAAGAGAGTTGCCGTGTTAGATATTCCGTCCTTAGTCTCTTCGAATTTTCCTCCCAAACCCTAAAACCAACTGTTTTTTGTTCGTTTGCATGTTATTTCAATCCAGAGAGCCTGTGCATGCAGACTGGTACTCCACAAATGTTTTCTTGTTTAGTAATTTGAGAATTTATTTTGAAATTAATAGGCAAAAAGAAAATAATAAAATATTGTTCTGAATAGAATCGTGGGAGTGATTGGGTTTCTTTTTCTAATCAGGAAATTGTTATAGTGTTATACTATGGAATGTACTTTGTACTAAGTGAGGGAGTACAATCTTTGTAAAAGTTTAGTTTTTTGGAACTGAAAACTTCCGGCAAATTTCAGTTGTATAGTTGCTTTTATAGTGTACTTGTAATATGGCAAAGTATTTATATTAATAAAAGTACAATGTCATTGATTCAAATCTGTCCTTCTTTGATGGAAACCGATAAACATGGAACTTAGCTGGGGTATCTGCAAAAATGATTTTATGCGCTAAGCCGATATTTTTCAAAAACATATATCAAATTTTTTTAGTAGACATATTCATATCACTTGAGGATCAGAAATAAAGAAAAACATATGTTCATGAATTTGATGTCTAACTGTAGGTTGTGTGTGAAAATGCATTAGTCATGCAACACTCAATGTCGTTGAATTTTGTCAAACTCACAAAAAACAATACAGTTTTCTGTTGATACTTTATTTTATTTTAAAGACAGTAAAAACTTAGCACTACCATTTTCTTTTCCAAGAGAAAAAAGAAAAAAGAAAAGATAAGATCTACACATACACTGGGACAAACATTAAAATTGTTCAATCAACTGAATCAAAAGGTTCATCTTTCTGCTGTCAAAACACAGTAAAGAAAACCTCCCTCTTACGTGTTATTATCAGGGAGTAACCATCCTCTTCGATAGTAATGTATATATATATATATATATATATATAGATACATATATGTTGTAGAAAAACATTGTGAACCAGTAACCCATGAAAATCCCCACATTTTTCTTTTTTTCTTAAATCTTTTCACAACTCTGATTATCACAAATTTTAAAGAAAGAGAATAAGAAGAGCCAAGACATACCATGTGAAAATGGTGTTTTATAAAGGTAAGACAGTTTGAACACAATGCCATATTTGGTGGTGAGTGTCATATTTGTATGACCACACTGAGCATTTTATTAATCACCTGGCCTTTTCTAATCCATTGGCATTTCTCTTCCATTTGTGTCCTTTTCTACAATTCACTGTTGCTTTCTATTTGTGTGAAAAAATCACATCAATATCATTCTCTGCATGCTATTTGATTTGTGTGATGTTTCTATTTTTGAGCAAAAGATGAGCAAGGGGCCATTGCCAAAGGCTGGTCCATCTTTGCTGGCAACAAGGAGTTCAGCAATCCCCCCCTCCTTTTTAAAGAATTGCATGTCCAATGTGGCAATGGCTTGGTCAACAAAAGCTTTGTTGCCATGGGGTGTTCAGTTGCTCATCAAAGAAGACACTTCTTTAAAAAAAAATAGTCACAGAATAAACAAAATAAAAAGATGAAAAATTAGGGTTTCACAAGCTGTTGGACTTCAATGAGAATGCTGCTTAGATTAGAACATGGGTTTGTTTTGACTCTCCTAAAGATTCCTCCTCCAAGCTTGTGCTTTCTATCAGCCTTGTCCTCCAGCATGGTACACACCCATCCATTAATACACACTTTCATCCATGAACTCATCAAAACATTCATCCATTTGTCACCAAAAACACATGTATCTATGAACTCGTGGACGGGTGTTTTGTGGTTTAGAAAAACAAGCCATGTGTGCACTATTGGTCAAGCCAATGGAATGGGTCACAAATTTCAACTGAATTTGCTTGACTCCTTCAGTGATTGCGCTTGTTGCCATATACATCTAATACTTCTTGCTTATCCCACCCATCTATATCATATAAGTTAATATTTATGGCCCAAAAATAGGGCATTGATAACCCTATTTCTATGGTTCTCTTTCTTTTACTTCATATCAGATTTACAAAAAAAAAATCAAAAACAAAAACAATCAAACAAAACATGGCTAGAACAAAACATTCCTTAGAAAAACAGGACTATGATATTTGTTTCATTGTCTATTTTATAGAAATGTGTCAACTATGATTATTTTTTGATGTGTTTTTGGGTGCCTGCAGTTGGTTGGATTAATTAGAACCCAAGGTGAAGAGGAAGAGAAGAGATTAAGGAGCTACAATTACCTGATCAAATTTTAAACAAAATTTCTAAATTGTTGCAATTGCAAAATAATCAGACATTTAAATTTTATCAAACTGGAAAATCAATATATATATATATATATATATATATATATAAATATGTATATATAAGGGAACACAATGTCACAAACATACAAATTGGATTTGTACAGTTGAAGGAGGACCTTTGAATGAATCCCACTTGTGTCGTCCTCAATAACCCTCAAAAAGATGATTTAATAATACCTCCCTTGTGTCTCAAAAAACCTTCTGCTGGTTGAGAATTTAGTGAGTCTCACCCTCAAAAGATGTGGAAAAGCTCATTCTACTCAACTATGTTATCAAAGAAAATTTTATGCCTTGCTCCAGAATTTGAGCAGAACCTGAAAAATGCTGGAGCCTGGTTTCAGACCTTTACTTTTTATTTTATTTTATTTTAAATGTTTATTTATGTGTTAATTTAATATTTTGTTGTTTAGGTGTATTGTGTTGAAGGGATTAGGCATGTTGAAAGGTCAATAAAGGTGACAATGTGATCAATGGTAAAATTGAATTAAGTTAATAGCAAATGAGCTGATTGATCACTGGATGAATGGATGGATGGATGAAAGTCGTGGTGCACGTGTACATCCATCCATAAAATAGATTATCCTTTCAAAAGGGGATAGTGAGAGGATAAGAATTCTAGATTCTTCCTCATCATGCCACTCACAAGATTCATTTTAATAATATATATATATATATATACACACTCTTTCATTCATTCGTTCCATTCATCCTTTTCATTCATGTTGAGCTTCCTCAAACTTTAAGGTTGATTCATGCAGAATTCCCAACCCAGGCTTTATGATTTTATATATATATGAAATCTCAGTTCATAATTTGTACGATTAAAGGCATATGTATTAAATACTCATAATGTTTGAAGAATTTGTATGGTCAGTAGAAAACTATGAGATCAATTCTTTTTAGCCTTAGTTTTGATGTTGATGAAAATTATTACAAATACACCATTAATGAAATTTTAACCGAGAAATTTTCATGGATCAAAAGGTAAAGAGTCTTTGATATGGCATTTCACCCACAAATTTCTATGAGCTCAAGTAATGATAATATACAGGTAGATATACTCAATTTTAATTTTCAGTTCTAATTCTTTTGCAAAGTTGAAATAAAGTTATAAGACTCGTAACATATCTGTGTTAAGTCATTTTAATTAATGCATTGTTATTGTAGCTTACACAAAACGATTTTCCCTTGGCTGATAGAAATAAGAGATTCCATATTATTATTATTATTATTATTATTAAGGAAGGGTTATTTAATTTTTAATTTTTCAACACTACACAAAAATATTTGTTTTGTTTTGATTTTTTGTCAATATAACTGTATATATTCTTAAGTTTTTTTCTTTGAGTATGCATGTTATTTTGAAATCTTTATTTGCATCTAATGCAAATTATTTATTAAAAAATTATTGAATTTTAATGAAAAAATTAACAGAAACAGAAGGAAATCTCATTTACTAATAGTCTTAATACATGGCTATATACACATGGAGAGAGACTACATATGAAAATTGGCAAACCAGATCCAATTGTTTCTTTGAAAATCGAATTAATTAATAAATATACAAAATTGAGTAAAATGTGTCATCAAAAGATTGCTTAAACACATATGCAATTTCCATTAAATATAAATACAAGGTGTAACTAAAATGTGTGGTCAACATTGCTCTCCCGATTGACAATGCACAGCTGCTGTTCGTTGGTGGTAACTTGTACCATTCCATGTCTTCATATTGTTCAACAAGACAAAAAAAAAATTTAAAAAAAATTTAAAACCCAAAATAAGAAAAGTGATGAGGAATCAGGGCAGGCCCCAGTTTCTGAAAAGGCATTTTGCATCTTTCATGGACAATTGTGGAATCTTCCAGAGGAACCTCCCCCCCCCCCCCACCAAATATTCAGTAAACTTCATAGCTCGTGACATTCTCAATTCGGCACACTCTAGCAGGAACATGGGGATGTAATTTTCACAACTATAAAGAGTCAAGGAATAAAAAGAATCACTCACGCAGTTCTGGTTACGTGCAACTCCGTAGGCAGGACATTCTGCAAAACTCCAAACTAAAAAGCTTTGGCAACAAAGTGATTCATTTCTTGCACCTCTTTAGTGTGTGTGTGCACATATATATATATATATATATATAGATAAACGTACAAAAAGGAAAGAAAGAGTTTTTTTGTTAAAGAATGAGCCATTTTACACTTTTATAATTTGATTATGAAAATACCACATGATCTGCCTCATGTTGTAGCTTCGAGTTGATTTTTGCAAAGCTGCTCGTTGATTTAAAAAAGAAGGATAACTTACAGTGAAAAGATTGGGTTGTCGTCGAGAGCAGGCAGCATTTGGGGCAGGAAATCGGGGAGTTTCTTTTTCCAGTAGTGGCCTGAATGAGTCTCCTTGGGATGCTGCTGCCCTATGAACCGGTTGTCACACCTAGAAAACAAAGAAACAGGTCAAAATATTGTACAAAGAAGGTAAAGAAAGTGGCTATGAATGAGAGCTCAAATTTATTTATTATTGCCCTTGAGGGTGTTGTGAGAGAGCAGATATCCTGCTTTGTAACTGCCAGCCCCATTATATTCATGACTTTTCATATTTCTTGCCACTTGATTGACTTTCCTTGAAGGGGCAAGATCTTTCTTTGACCGCAAATGGGCCTGGAAGTTGTTAGGATCAATTAGTGAATGACCCCATAAAAACATATGCCACTTGGTGCTCCATGATTGATGGGAAATGGACAAGGCAGTGGGCAATAAACTTGCAGTGTCCGAGGGCTTTGATGATCCCCTGTGAAAGCCAGTGTTGCCATCACCTTCTCAAAAGCAGAGCAAAATAGGGTCGTAGCACTGTTACGAGGCCGTTTAGCAGGTTTATTCCACTTCTTCCCCGTGCAGCACAGTCCATCAGGGAATCGGGTTTCATAATATAAACACAACTCGATGGCATATGAAAAGTTAAACATATATATATATATATATATATATATAAAGAACATGAATAAAAACAGAGAGAGAGAGAGAGTTTGATGAAGAAATACTTCAGTTCCATGTGACTGTTTGATTTCACTCATTCAACCCTAATCTCGACTGTAGCAATGGAACGCACCTAACCCCATGTGTCGTGAGCTTGGTTACCGGGATTCCAACGCCTCACATTGAAGAACAATTTGCGATCAACTTGCGACTGTAGTGTATGCAGCATTGGATATGCATTGTATGACACCAAATGTCACTCCAGTTGTCCTTCGGCGAATTAAAGAGCTCAATTCTGCTGCTTCGAGATAGAAATCAAGTCTGGATTTGTGTAGAGGTTGTGGATTCGAGATTTAGAGGCGCATCCAATGATAGACGCTCATCTAACTTTCATAAATTAGGTTTTCTGTTTACCAGAAACATTCAGGTTTGAACCTGTCCCTTCTATTCCGTCTTCTTTTCTTCGTTTTTATTTTATTTTATCCCCCCCCCCGCCCCCTCCCGAATTGCGGAAAATCCATAACCTCGAAATTTCAATTCTCAAACCGTTTTCAAGTGCACGTCTCGCTTAATCCGCGAATGCCATTTTCAAATTAGCATTTATGGTCTATTAGCCTTCATGATCTCGAAACTCGGATTAATCAACTTGGAATTTTGGGTTCCAACGATATCCAAACCTAATTTACTACCTTCCTTAGATCCTTGCTGATTTGTTCCTCCTTGTAGCAGAATGATTCCTTATGCATTGGCCTTTAGGAACCAAATCTTGTTTCGAAATAGGTCTCGCATTCACCTGAACTTTTGAAGGTCACCTTCGTCATTTGGTGTCTGTGCAGGTTGTTGTCAGCTGATTTGTTCAACCCATCGACAAGCAGAATGCGAATCACTGATCACATCATGTCTGCAGCATTATGATTGTGCTCTCTTTGAACTTGAAACGTGTGGTGGCGGACTTGCGAATGATTCGTTAGCTACAAGCAAGAAATCAGGAGCATTAGTTTAAGAATTGAACGCCAGTTTGTTGATTGAGTGCTTGGGCCAGTTGTGGTCAAGGTTTCAATGGCACCCTGAGATTGCTGGTGAGGTCATGCGATTTGACTTTGCCAATTTTTGCCAATGAGGTACAGATCTTCTCAGATTGAGAAATTTCCGTTCCGTTGAAATCTAGTTCTCTGTTGTGGAAGTTGGACATTCTTATCAGCAATCGCAATTATTCCTCATATTGTAATTTGTGAGCCCTTGTCTCAAAGTAAACCAGTATTCTGCGCCTTTTTGTTTGTCCAAACTGTCAAGGTACAAATTCTTCAATTCAGAAGAATTCTGGGCCTGGAGGTTGTCGTGGATCCTAGGAGCACGACCAAGATGCTTTTAGAATACTGCAATTGCTCATAACACGGAAGTATTATTTCCCTTTTTCTCCATGTTCAGCGCCTTAGAATACATTCTGGATAGGAATTAAACCCAGCTCATTTGCATGTCGCGTTCATTTGTGCTTACAATGCACAGCATCGATATTATGTCGAGATGACCATGGTGTATTGAGTACTTTGCGTCAAATCAGATTCCACGTATCATGGGTGGCTTGCAGCGCCTTCTCAGTTCAGCAAGAATTTAACGTTAATCATGTTAACATGAGTCCGTGCACATTGATTGAACACTACCTGGATAGAGTGTAGGAGAGGGAGATTGGCAGGATAATCACAAGGCTGGGGCAGCTAGTCACTCTCTGGCAGTTACAATCCTTACCACTTCACACGATTCCACAGCATCTTTGAAAGCCCAAGTGTGTATTTGCTGATAGGGGCAGCTCTTCCATATGTGTCGATTGGAATTTCGACCAGCAAATTTATATGTCTTGATGCCGATACGCTGGGGAACAGCTCGTTGCGCTTCAGACCATATGTCAATAACAATCTCGTGTGGCAACTACCTGGCTTGGCGTTGATGCTTTTTGTGAAGTAACTGCATGTCAGTAGACTTACCTGTCCAGCTGAAGTGGTATTTTAACACCGCTACGTCCGGTTCATGAAGAGTTTCTAACTGTCCCCCTGCTTTTGTTTCAAGGTTGATAGATCTTGTTCATGTCAGCGATGATTATAAATTCCATGATTGGAAAGCCGTAGCATCAACCGATTCACAATGACTGCTTCTGAGAGCAAGCAGGTTGCGGGAGGTCGTTACCGCTTTTGAAAAGCACCTGTCGAGCCCCCACGAAGCGGAACGAAGTGATTGTGTTGACCAGGACTAGACGAGTAATTTTGAGCAATTTCCGGCCCGGCTAGCTGGAATTTTTAACTGGTTAATTCGAAAAAATCTAATAGGGATTAAGAAGCTTGCGGAAGAACACTGGCATATATGATAAATGTGAGGAGAGAGGATTCAACCTTCTAGCAGAGGACATACAAGGCTTGTTAAATAACTGCAAGGTAAGTATTATGTGGAATTGTTCAACATCATAGCTCTTCCACGCCCTGTAACCGAATGAGGCGCATCCTATGAAATTCAAAGTCGACCCTCGAGGCACTAAGCTTGTGACGAACTCAAACAATGCATCCGTGGAAAAATTTAGGCCAACAAGTCAGATCATAATGATGAAGGCAGTCCACAAAGTTCTCACTAGCTCTTACAAGTTAAACTGCTACCCAACACATTCTTATTTCGCTCCATCTTATCAACAAAGGCTCCACTACGCTACAAACTTAATTCCACTCGTTCCCTGCGAACCTGCATCACACAGTATCACATATTCCTTAAATGACATCACACAGAACTTCGCGAAACGGCACAGCAAAAAATATATAGCTCAATCCTCTCCACGCAAGTCTATTTCTTGGAAAAGCGCATTCAACATACCACGATGTCTCGATGCTTCGGACCCTCGAAAAAGGACCAGGAAAGAAAGAGGAACAACGAAGAACAACAACAACAACGAAGAAAGGTCGAAGCAACAAAACAAAAACAAAACAAAAACAAACGCCTCGGAAGCTCCCCCCCTCCTCCCCACTGTTCCCATATTCCCGGTTACGTTCCCCTCAGGTGGGGACGCTGTTCCCTTGCTTTGGTGGCGTGCGCTTCTGTTAACATTTGAGATTTCTTCATTGTAACTGGATATCTAAAGCTTTGAAGAACAATTCTACATCTTGGTTAACATTGCATCCCTTTGTAATACTCTCTGTGGGGTTTGGCAGGCCCCCCCCTCGTTGTGAGCCACTTCCTTTAGTTACACAACACACAAACTTTTGTAGAAGACCATCCACCCTGAGTTGCTATTGTCCTCCAATAATTTAATGTAATGTTGTAATAACAAAAGTGTATATAATTTATTTTTTCCACAAATATCTTAAAGCATTGTATGTAAAAATTACACAAAATATATTTAACTTTCTAAAGAAGTTCTTAAAATATGTATATTTAATTTTAATTATTTATAAAAAATTATTTAAAAATTTTTAATTTTTAATTTGTAATTTATGTACATCACAATGTGACTATGTTCTAGTCCATCCAAAGTTAGACCTAGACCATACTCCTTTCCTCCAAACTAGATCCTAAGTATGAAAGAAGAGTGACTCCTTCCTTGTAGGATTGTTGTCACATATATATATATATATTTATTTAGATAAGAAGAACTAGGTAGCGAGTAAACATAGGTAGATTTGATGATATTTTATAGCAAAGTCTCTTAGAAGCTTCATTGATGCAAATTTGACTTTACACCTATTTGTAGTTGATTAATTACTTAGAAACTTGGCTAGTAAATTAGTCACATATCAAAAGTATTGGTGTCAAGGACAAGAATCCAATGAAGGCAAATAAACGCGTAAGACTTGTTTCAAAGAAAGATGACAAAATAGAAATAAGAAAGTATGTATATTTTAAATAAAAAATTAGAACTTCTATTGCTAAAAGACATAAATACAAGAGTTCTTTGAGAGTAGACTAGAAACAAGAAAGGAGTGACAAGAATCAAAAAGGCTTCACTCTTGCCTCTATATATATTTTCTAACTAGGAGCTACATGACAACATTTTATAAAACTTTATTACACGTTTAATTTTCAAGATATGTGTCTTAATTTGCAAGGCAAGTTTTCTATACATGCACTTCATGATAAGCTTGTATCACAAGCTACTAATACATATAATATTTGGCTAACTTATTAGCCAAATGATCAACCTATCAATCACTAATAAACACATCTAAAAGTGAAATCATGTCAATAAAACTTCTAAGAAGCTTTTCTACAAGATATTATCAAATTAATCTTATTTTATAAACAAAGACTTTGTTAAAACACAAATAAATATTCTTGATTAAGAAAACTAAATCCATGCACGTAAAAATCATAGATGATTATTTTTTATCTTTTTAGAAATGTTATCTATGAAATTATTCATTTATATGTAGCAAATAATGGTCATAATAGCGTTATAATATTTAATATAACTAGATCTTCTCTCAAATTTATTATTTTAAGTGTATTGTGGCTAAAAAGTAATATATTAAAATAGAATTGATTTCTCAACATCTTGATTTTTTTTAATAGTTTAATCCAAAAATATGATAGTCATGTAAAAAATCCATAAATTCAATACAATCAAATCATTATTATTGGATGCGAGCACTTCTTTGCATACTAAAAAATAATCATCTCCTTGTATTATTTATACCACACCTACTTTTAATAATAAAAATACTTCAAGTGGCATTTTAAGCCAATATAAAAATTATCAAGATATTTTTTAGAAGAAGAATGTGGATGTTCTTTCAAATCATTGGTCATAGGATTTTTGAATTGATCTTCACAAAAAACTCAATCATCATTTGAATCAATTTATATTTTACTAAAAAATAAGTTTTTTGAATTCAAAGAATATGTTGATGAGAATCTAGCAAAGGATTTCATATACCATTTAAAATCTCGACGAAGAATTTCCATATTATTTATTAAGAAAAAAAAATCATAGTGGATTTGTGTAAACTATTAAGGACTCAATAAGATTACTATGAAGAATAAGTACCTTCTATCATTGATATTAAGACTTTTTCATCAATTGAATCAAGTTAAGATCTATACTAAAATAGATCTACAATGAATATATAACCTAATATGCATCAAAAAAGGAGATGAATTTTTGACAACATTTAAACAAGGTATGGATATTTTGAATATAATGTCATATATTTTAGATTCATAAATGCCCTAATTGCTTTTCAATATCTAATGAATGATATTTTTCAAGAGTTTTTTTGATAATTTTGTTATTTGTTATTAAGATAATATCTTAATCTATTCTAAAAATATAGAGGAGTATGAATTTTAAATTTGTTGTGTGTTACGAAAATTTTAAAATATAATATTATATGCCTAGATGTAAAAGTGTGTATTTTATACTACTCAAATTGATTTCTTAAGATACATTATTTCAAATGATGGCATTATGATGGATCCTAAAAAAGTTCAAACTATCATGGATTGGAATTTTTTAATAAGGATATGAGACACGCAATATTTTTTTTTGTAATTTTTTAATTACTATTAAATGTTCATCAATTTTTTTTTTAAAGTTGCAACTAAACTATATATTTGACTTCTAAAGACAAATTTGAGTAGAAAAAGAAGTTGAAGTTTTGTATGAAGGCATAAGACTTGGATCATTTTCTATTAGTGAAAAAATTAATATAGATGTATATTGATTACATCTATCAGAGTTCATGAAGATCTATCTTATGTTTCATATATTTTTTTTTGAACCATATAAAATAGTGAATATTCTAAAAATAAGACCAATGCCATCACTTCTTATAAAAGTAGATACTAATTAAGAATTTGAGGTAGAAGAAGTCTTAAACTAAAATAGGTGTTGATTTAGGTTGAAATATCTTGTTCATTGGAACAGTGTCATATTACATAAAGTCTTGCTTAAGAATGTACTAGGCACCTGATTATAGAACGTAGAATGTAAATTGTAACAATAAAATTCTAATCCTAATATAATTCTAAATAAATTCTAATTAAACCTTAATAATGCTCAATAAAATTTAATCAAATTTAAAAGAAAATTTAAAGAAATTACAAAAGAAATAATAAAAAATTTTAAAAGAATTAAAAAAAAAATCAATAATAAATCTTAAAAGAATCTTTAAGAAATCTTAAAAAAAAAATAATCACAAATATATTTTAAATAAATTTCAACTAAGTACTAATTTAATTTCAATTAAAATCTTAATAGACTTCAATCAAATTATAGAAAAATCCTACATCATAAATCAAATCCTAAACCAAATCCTATACAAATCTTAAATCCTAAATCAAACCGTATACAAATCTTCAACTCTAAACCAAACCATAGAAAAATCTTAAATCCTAAATCAAACCTTAGACAAATCCTGAATCCTAAATCAAATCCTACACAAATCCTAAGCCCTAAATCAAACCCTAAACTGAATCCTAATCAAATGTCAAGGATATGAACTAAAAGATGGATAAACTAATGAAATCCGTATCAAAGAAAGAGTGAAAAAATAAAAATAAGGAAGTATGTATATTAAAAGAAACTAGAATGGCTTATTATCAAAAGACAAGAAAACTTGAGACTCTTGAAACTAGACTAGAAGCAAGAAAAGAATTGACAAGAGTGAAGAGGGCTTCATTATTGTCTCTATATATATTATTTAACTAGAGGCTACGTGGTGATGTTCTATAGGACGTCAAATATGTATTGATTTTGTAGGATACATGCCTTGACTTATAAGGTAAGTTTTTCTACATGTAGACTACATAGTTACCTTGATGTTCAAGCCAACAACATGTGTGGTACATGGCCAACTTATTGACAATGTTTATAATCCAAAAAGTCAATTAAAAATACCTATAAAGTCAAAGCAACATCTATGAAGTTTTTACGAAGCTTCCATAGAAGATATTATAGAATTAATTTGCTTTTACATACTTCTACTTATTTATATATGTAATTACTAGCTTACATGTATATGTCTGTGATATTACGTCCTCTTATAGGCACGAATTCCATAAGGAAAGGTCATCATATATTGAAGAATTCTATAATGCAACAAATTATATTTGCCATATATTTAGATCTTTGTTTTCTTTGAAGATAGTTGATAGGGCCTCTCAACCATTGATAGTATCTCATATCAGAATAGAAAGTCCATCTTATTATTTAATCATTGTTGAGGCCTTCATAACTTCTTTCAAATAAAATATTTGAAACACCGTCAAGAGTTGTTCCTACCTCTAATAAAATTATCAAACATCGAGAGTCTCTTCTAAAGTCATGATATCAAATGCATTGTATCTTGCCATCTATTGAAGGAAAAACATGTCGTTCTTGAGGATCTTTATCTTGATTGTGTCATCTTGAAGATTGTGATAATTATAATGTCTCATCTGGTAGGTCAACAAACGAAGGCTTTTCAGTCAAATCTACTAATTGTTGGTTTTCCATTTCTTTAGCATCACAACTACAAAGAAGCTACAAAGAAGGATTGAAAGTAGAATGTTATCTTACCTAGATCTAATTTCTTTTATAAAAAAAGTTTTCATCTTGATTTTGATGGATGTTGTTGATGAAAAGCCTCCATCGCCTTTGTTGTATTTGCAAGATACTTTATTGGCTCTTATGTGCATTCACTAATATCATATCTAAGCCAATGGACAAGATATTCTAATTTATTTTGGTGCTTCATTGAATCTATGACTTCTTCCACTTTGAACTCTTTATTATTGTCCACTTCTATAGCAAAAAGTGATACTTGTTTTCTTCTTGATATGTCTACTATCTTGTATGGTTTAAAAAGAGATACGTGGAATACCAAATATATTTTTATTGACTCCAATAGGTGTAAATAATATGCAATTGGATTAATTTATGGAAAAATAGGAAATGATTTAGGCCTACAATAGTCCAAGTTATCATAAGGACAAATGGTCTTAATATTGGGATGAAATAACCATACCTTGTTACCTATGT